CCACCACCACCAAGAAAATTTAACGAATTTTATAATGTGATTACGATTGTAATGGATAATTATGCAGTCAGCAGGCTATTCAGTAAACTGTCACTTGTCAATCCTCATACATATCAAATTTTCAAAACGTTATTGTAGTCATATGAAGCAAAAGTTCTGTCACTTCTTGTTTACACTTGGCAACGTTAACTATTGAGTAACATACACAAACTATTCGAGCGGAGGAACATGCATTACTGTAGCAATGAGTCAATTATAGTCGAAGAACACTGAATAGTAGAGAATGTTTCGAAGGTCATGAATGAAGTATACGATTCAATTCCAATCCCATGCACAGTTAATGATATACACACTGTTCAATTCGGTCTAACACAGCATATCCACACAAAAACAATTTGTGTTGTGGGAGAAAATCGGTTTGAGTATAGATATCAAAACTTTAGTTTTGTACATTGTGTACCATTGATCAGATCCATCCATATAATATATGATTATTCATTATAGCTGTTAAGTTATTTTCCATACTAATGCATTTAGGTAAGATTCTCTTGCAAGTGGGCTGTTCGGACAATATTATCCAGCCAATATCCAGTACATTTATTTATCATTCTAACAAAAACATTTATGTTAGAAAGCAAAATGACAATCTAACGAGGCTCAGGAGGGCTAGGGTGGGGAATTTTGTTTAATTATAAACTCTAATTAATGTGTAAAACCAAAATGTATCAAGTATTTTAACTGATAACATCTTTAACCTCCAACACTACATTTGATGACAGCTTAGTTGAACTGTTGTTTTGAACAGAGTATAAACCTACAGAGTTAATATACAGAAATACAGGACCAGGATTTAATTCAAGATCTCCTGATCTGAGACCATTAGTTTCCTTTGATATTGTTCATTGGCAATATTGCCTACTATGTTTTGACTGTTTAAGATATTACAGAAATCACAGAAGGATTGTTATACTGTATAAATCTTTTTGTGAACTATGTTGACAATTTATACAGTGTAATATGCAAAAATTATACGTGGTATTTGCACCAATTTCGTATTTAAATATATATAATAAAAATATGTCGTATTTGAGTACTTACCAGATGAGGTTAAGTTCCCATGTTGATAAATAAGCTAGGAATAATATCGCAAGTAGAATGGCGAGAAAACAACAAGAGAACCAATTCAAGATAAATTGATAAAATCAAGATATTTTTGAAAGAATAACACGAGGCCAATCTATGCCCATTCGCAGGTTAGATGCGGGCACGAGGTAAACAATTGATGTAAACTAATCGCTGATTGGCTAAAATCTGCTCAATTATATAAGCTCGTCGCTGAATGGCTAGGGATAAGGTACGTTTGCGATACCAATATATCTGCTTCGCAGATACAAAAGTAAAGTGTGTATAAATATTTCTGCAATCTGGTTAATTGGTTGAGCTACTCCAACTCAATAAACCAGGAAAAATCCCGTTACAGTGCGTCTCCAGTAAGTGGGGCCACTTAGAGAACACTAACCAATTGCATTGCAGAACAAAAAGAAAAATCTAATCAAACTAAAGCTCGTCCAATCAAAAGAAAGATTCAGGAAGCCATTAACTGCCGTGTTTACTTTTACAAGTCTATTTTTACTATTTTGACATTCGTTAATTTGTTCAAATGGTTTTTTGCCTAATGCTGATTGGCTAATGCGCCGTTTGTTGACTTTTTCAATTTTTGTTCTGCAATGTGATTCGTTAGTGTTCTCTAAGTGGCCCCACTCACTGTAGACGCACTGTAAATATCGGGCATGCACGTTTTAAAACCAAAACATTTCCGGTAAATATATATGCTACACGCGGATTATGGCTGAACAAAATGTCAAAATCTTGCAACAGAGAAGAACATATTATTGCTGCAGTTAATGGCCATAACTATAAGACAATATTACGAAACAAATATTCGCTCTCGTGGCCGGCTACCAGCTCATATACGACTCGAGCTAATGGCATGCATAGTTGTTAAATATATTTGAAAGTTATCGGCTATATTGTTAAGCAATATGGACATGAACTGTTAAAAAACATTATTTTACGTTAAGTAATTAAAGTGGAAGTCAAGTCCGTTCTGCGCATCGGTTCTGCTCATAACAATGTGAGGACCCTCTAATGTGAACATTGCCCAAATTTCGAAAGTTTCGAATTTTTCTGAACATAAACTCTATTTTATATTCATTTAGAAGCATAGCGAACCAAAATGGTGTAAGATATTCAGACAGTACATCATATTTTAAAAAATACAGCAGTTCAAGATGTAAACAAACCGTTTGTTTACATTACGGACTTGACTTCCACTTTAAAGTTTAATATTTTTGTTTACTTTGAAAGTCCCACTAATTTAACTTGTCAACAAATATTTTGTCAAACAATCGCTGGCGGCGAAACAGTTTTTATTTTTGGGAGGAGGGGGGGGGGGCTAATTTCTAAACATTGTGCTAATTTATAAAATCTTTTCCTGGAAATGTTGGCAACGGATCAGGCGGAACCAATTTTTTCCCCCGACTCATTATATTTCCTCCTTGATATTTATAATACACCTACCGCTTTTGCTTAATTCTTTCCTCATTTTTTTATCCGAATTTGTCCAACTTTTATGTAGAAATTTCAAAATTTTTACTCTGATTGTTTTCTGGGCGGTTTAGCCCCCATTTTTACTTCTGGGGGAATATAGTCCCCAAGCTGCCCCCCGTTCCGCCGCCTATGATTACAATAACAAACTCATTGTTAATCATGGATAAATATTACCTATCAATTGAGCAATAACCTGTTGGAACATCCATTCACCAGTGAGTGAGAAACTTAATAAAAATTTATCATGTATGTTTTGAAATACTTCATGGCCTTGAAAACATGCCTAACTGAAAACATCCAGTCAGGTCAGTAGACACTTGCCGAATATCTCTTGAGTGCAGGCGAAACAATAGTTTGAAATGGTGGCGGGCCGGTGGAATCGATTGTAAAAAAAGCAGTTTTCATGGCTAAGCAGCAAATTCGGTAAGTGTCTATTGTCTGAATTCATGGGTTTATGATATTATAATAATCAAAGTTATCGTTCATTATGATATGATCTGGAAAATTGCTTTTCACTCCGCTGTTCAGCTCACATTTCTTTAATACATCGTGCCCGTGTTCCGATTTCTCAAAATTCATAGAAACGCACTCTTCATAATCTAGACAACGTATGACGCATTCAAAGATACCGCTGACCAGAAATGACTGAATAACGTGAAAGTCCAGGCGTTGATTTCTCCCCAACTTTGATGCATATGCCGAACCTGGAAATGAAACGCAATAGTAACGTAAATTTTTACAGAAACAGTAGTTTTGTACTGTAGGCCAAATCCTCAATAGACTACAGTGTATGTGCATGTGGTACCGGGATGCAACCCTAATCCAATCTTAATCTGATTATCCCACCACTGCGCGTCGATGCCGCCACAGAGTAATTACATACAGTGGTCTCACTTCAGCGTAATTTAGTGTAAATTTAGTGCCTGGTTCGGATATACCTGCGGTATGTCGGCGGGCTATTGTCGTTAGCAGTTCAACCAAGTAACTCACAAACGAATGTATGCATCAACAGCTGTAAACAATGATAGCTCAGGCATATGTGAACCAGGCTTTAGGGATTTTTCCAGTTTGCACATTCTTAGCAAGTGCTCTACAAGCTGCTCCATTTACTGTTAGGAGTACTCCGGATTTTCGGAACACTAATGGAATGGAACAAAAGAGAGTCACATGACTGTTCTGAACTGTTCTGACTACCTCGATTTTCGAGTAGGGGCAGCCAGAACAGACACGTGACACTGCCTATTTTCACGTGATCGGAAATGGAGGCGACATATTTTGTGTATCAATGCACACTGTATAGAGCGTTATTTTGAAGGGTTAACCGATATATTTTGACATATACTTATTATAATATGCTATTTGAACGCCAGGGTTGGGCAAAATCAACAACTAAAAACGTTGCAAAAGCATACGTAGATGTACAAATAACAGCGAATCATTATACGCTTTTTTATGCGAATAACTAATTCATATAGTAATGCATGGTTGCACGCATATATAATAAACTCAACACTAGTACTGTTCCAGAACACCGTGTGCACCCCATTTTATATCGTTCCAGAACAGTGTTCCAAATATTCTAGAACAGTAAATGGAGCAGCCTGCTAAAGAGCACCCCCTGAAAATATATTAAAATTTAATGTTCTAGGGTGTGAAGACTTCTCTTTAGGGCACTTGCTAAGAACATGGCCGCCAGATATATGCGCAGTAAAAACTACCTTACGGCTTTTTCGCAGAAAGTAAGGCAGCTGTATGTAATCACTCACCCTGTGATGCTGCGATGCAGCCTCCCTTCGAAGGCCAATGCATTTATACCCAAACGTCTTGTCCAATGCTTGTGGTTTTGTGTGGTGTCGCGAATTTATTGTATTAATTAGTTGTGTCCCTATCAATCCCAACATGAGCTCGACCTTTGAATTTACTATATACAGGACTTGAGAACTTTGAAGTTCTCCTTGTATTTTTTAGGTGGTTGCATCCCTATCAAACCACAGCTTTCTTATATTGGCACTACCCACACTGGCGCAGATCGTTCAAAACCATTTTAAATGTTGTTTTTTTATATATCCATTGATCAAAATTATATTGTGATTAATTAAACAATCAAAATAATGATTATAATTAATGTTTGTCAATCAGAAATTATATAAGTTTTCGGCAAAACCGTTGCTCAAATGAGAATAACTAGTTCAGCATAACCTGTGTTTTTACTTACGCGTGAATAGTTCATGAAGAGTAGGCCTGGCACCGATCCAGAACCTACAATGGTACTTGCTGGATGCCACTGGTGAACCTGATATTGACAGCGCATTTTGAGAAATATTTGGCATCACCGCTGGTGCTGGATTTGCATGCGCCCGAGGCCATTTCCTGTCGTCATATTTCACTTGGTACCAATCCCCGTCGCTGGTCTTCTCGACACAAATCCATTCCTTATTCGTTACCAGTTTACCTCGGATCGACCCGAACAGAAAAGCTCCTGGAAATTGGTCCAGCACATTAGTGACAGCAATAAGGCGAGTTTTGGATGGAAGACAGAAGCCAGTGATGTCAAAGTTAGTGATGTAAGAAGCTACAACTATACTAGTTGTTATCTCTTTGCCGTCGGCATAAACTTTGTTGTTGAAAGTATTTAAGAGAACAAGTGGATCCTCCCCTAAAATGAAAAATGTTCGTTAATGGATCAATGAGAGAACAGGGATTGAATTATTGGAAGCCGGTTAGCTTTCAGGAATAAAAATTTACTTTGTCTCATTTGAAAGAACTTTTAAAATAATGGGGGAAAACTTTTTTACAGCTTCTTCAAACGTTGCTTAAGCCTGGTTCACACTAGTAATTTTGTCGGCGATTTTGTGTTTCTGACGGATGCAAATGAGTGAACTCGCACACAAAAGTATAGAGTCGCTTTTCAGAAGTAAACAATTCTAAGTCTTTTGCACGTCATTCACTCGATCACATTTGCCAGGAGGATAAAAATCGCCGACAGAATTGCTAGTGTGAACCAGGCTTTAATAGGGCCTTCCATGCAAAATTGAGGACGCCATCTTGAACCTACTGTTTTTGCCATTGTGTTTTCACTCCCTGTAAGTTTACCTATGGGGAATTTTATTGTATTTGCACTCATTGCACTGTTGTGTCTCATTATGTCGTCGCTAACCTTGAGTCCGCCATCTTGGATTATTGTGGATAGATCATGCCAATATTTTACCTAGATTGCAATGGACATTACAAGCCCAAAATTATACTTCGGTTATTATATTTCAAATGCCAATTTGACTGACAACTTTTTAAGCATCTACTAATTGTTGTTTGGTCACCTGGGAGTGGTTTTATATGGCTAACCCTGCTTTTGACCTCATGAGGTCATGCACCAAAACCTCGCTCCGTTAATCAAAGGATATGCAGCTGCAGCCCCCAATCGGGGAGATTGTACTTAAAAATCTTGCGAGTCAGCCAGCCCCGCCCCATTTCTCAGCCCTTTTTTTAGAACAAATCCCAGTCTCACTGTGAAATTAAAAGAAAATCCGAGAGCAGATGGTTCATCTATACGCATGATGACTCTTAAACGCAATTGTGCGTTCAATTACCCTCTTTAGAACTATATAGTTTTGCCAAGAAAAAGGTATATAACTGATTTACAATACCAGAAAAATGACCTCATTGAGCCATCAGTTCCTGGACTCTTTTAATACAAATTCTCCATCAAAAATTGCCATGCAGCTGTTCTTAAACTTATTTCACTCTGAAATGTCCGAGTAACTGTCTTTATAATGGTATACGGATTTTTCAATTCCCATTTTTGTGTCTTTCAGTCTCAGTATTAACCCAAATCGCATTTACCCAGTTCAAAAATATACAAATCCCCGCTCTATTTACCCGTTTTCAAGACGAGTAGTAAACTAAGTAAAATCTATCAAAATTTATGTCAACTTACCTTTTTTGCAAATTGAAGACTGCGAAGGCACCGAATTTATACACAGCACAGTAAAGATAGCGAAAATTGTTGAAAGTTCCATAATTGCATATGTGACGATGTCTATATTGCTTGTTTAAGCTTCGCGAAAAACAACCCAAATGAATTACATGGCACCTGCTACTGCATTTCTGGATGGAATTACACTTTTGCCATTCTGAAATAGCTATGGGCCAGTTTTCAGCAGTAAAATAGCGCTCCACAGGGTGTTGTGTGTTTTCTTCGCTGCGAAATAAGCAACTCGGCGACAAGGTTATTGAATGTATACATACATCTGCTCACAATTTTATAAAATTATATTGAAAGGAATCATTTGCCGTATTGTTCCGAAGACAATATTCATTACATTGAACTTGACAATAATTTAAAATGAGTTTCTGTTCGATATCCGATTATTCAGCTGCTTAAAAGGTAATAATATGTACATGAACCAATAGGCAATACAGCGGCAATCCAAAAAAATTGTCAACAGTAACAACTGAACATTCTCAATAGTAAATAGATAAAAAAGCAAATTAAAGTGTTGTCATCACAATTTAGCGTTGGGTAACATTGCCCCGAAGTCGGTAGTTTAATTTAAGAATATTTTTTAATATAAAGTAATTTTGTGTGCCAGTGTGGTGTATACATTTCATAATAGTTTAATACTAGTTTTTAAATTTTAATGACAAAACGAAAACATACGTCGCCTGTTCAATGTAGTTGAGCAAACAATAATGACATAAAATTAATTGATGTATTATAAAATGTTTGAGAAGAGAGTATTTTAGATATAGATTTTGCATTGAAAATACATTTTGAATTTTCAATAGGCAATTCCAGCATTTAGTTTATGCGTGCAGGGGGGGGGGGAGGGGGGGAGCAAGTTATCATATTGCTGATTATGCTGAAAAATAAAAACGGTGGCCGTGTAAACACGGAGTGATAGCTCATACTTGAAATATTGAAATATTTCGTTTGTTTTGGCAGTTTTTATTAAAATTTTTCAGCATAATCAGCAATATGATACCTTACTTTCCATCACGCCCTGCGCGCATAAATTAAAAGCTGCATGGAGTTGCCTATTGCCAAAACCAAAGGGCTGAAAATGTTTCGAGTTTCTAAGAGGTTGGCCTATAAACGTAAGTTCCTGCATTCGAAGAGCAGTTCAACTGGAAAAAATCAATCTCATAAACAGTGACGCAATGACTATAAATTTATAGTCGAATCGTGTCCGGTGTGTCTCGGTCTTAAGATCTACGACGCGACCGACTCAACGACGCGGTCTGGATTTCAGCTTAATACGAATGAGAGCGCTAAGCAATTTGTAATAAATGTTTGAACCTTAAAAACGGCTGAGTTCGACTAAAGCGATGCAATATTTGCTGTACTGGTGAATTTCGACTTTATGTAACATCTTTTGGGTCGCAATAAGCTTTCACGTTGCATGAAAGATCTAGACGTGATAATGCTTAGTTTAACGTTGTGTTGAGACAGATTTCATGACAGATTTCTTTGTAGTTCGCAAGCGCGTCCCTAAGCCGGCCACGTCGTAGTCTTATACTAGTGTACAGTATAGGCTCTCTCAATAACTCGAATCAATGACTCGGATGAGTAATAGCTGTTATCGTAATTGAATACGCCTATCGGCTACGGACCTGCGGTATCTGCATTATTTTAACATCGAGACGAGGCTATAGGGTCATGTTTTGTGTTTTTTGACCCTTTAGCCTCGTTTTCGTGCGTACTTCCACTGAGATACCGCTGGTTCGCGGCAGCGGCGTATTCAATTACGATAACAGCTATTGATTCGAGTTATTGGGAGTGGACACTTAACTGTAAACTCAAAGCCTTAATCCTGTTCATGCAACACATTAGCATCTTTAAAACTTTCGCATGCAACCTGCTTACTACTCGAGTTGTACTGCGTAAATCAAGCACACAACTCGCGTACGTTAATGTCGCAGGTGAATGGACCATTTGCATTATAGACTAAATTTTGATCTGGACAAAAAATTCATCAAAGCTTGAAAGAGCATCACAAAATTAGTAATATTCCAAAGTTTCGTTGCGAAATGTTGTAAAATGAGGATAATATAGCCTTGCGAAGTTTGCCGTTTTTCAGTCATTTTGTATTACGCACGCGAAATTGACAGCCCAATCGGGTGTTGGGGCATCAATTTCCCGTTTGTAATCTAAAATGACTGAAAATTGCAAACTTTGCAAGGCTATATTTTCCGCATTTTACAACATTTCGCAACGAAACTTTGGAATATTACTAATTTTGTGATGCTCGTTCAAGCTGTGATGAAATATTTGTCTAGATCAAAATTTAGTGTATAATGCAAATGGTCCATTCACCTGCGACATTAACGCAAATGGTCCATTGTGTGCTTGATTTACACAGTACAACTCAAGTTGTAAGCAGGTTGCATGCGATAGTTTAGGCAAAAGTTGTGTAGTCTAAATTGGCCTTTTGTCTATGTTGGTTGTGCATGCCCTAGTATAAAGCTTTCACCTACAGTAACCAATACTTCAAAGAAGGGACCATATATGGTGTGTGAAGATATTAGCCTACAGCGATGTACTGAAGATCTAAGTTAGCCTACTGAGTGTGAAGATATTACAGATGGTTATTGGTTACAAAAAGTTTGGTGTAGTCACTGTAGTGTCGTGTGAAATAGTTTTGGAGGTCTTCGAAAATTTTCACATTTTCGTTTATTGAATATATATATATATATATATATATATATATATATATATATATATATATATATATATATATATATATATATATATATATATATATATATATATATAGATTAATCACTAGGCGAAAAGCCATAAAGGTATATAAATTAATCAACTCAACACATAACGTAACGTTTCGACTTTATTGTCTTCATCAATATATATATATGCATCAATATATATATATATATATATATATATATATATATATATATATATATATATATATATATATATATATATATATATATATATATATATATATATATATATATATATATGCATGAAACTAAATAAACCAGGCGGGACTTTAAACTCAGTTTAAGGCTCTTTAATTAAGCTCGATAGAGCAGATTTTACACTAGAGTAAATGTTTCCGGATTTGTAAAAGTAGATCGATCCGGATTCCTTGAGTCAAGCTAGTATATACGGATCCGTGAGGCGTTTACACTACACAGCGATGGCCAATATAAAGTAAACCATTTTAAACATACACCAGCACACTAATTGATTCAGATTCTTTACGGAAAGCCGTTCACCCGAGAGTTTTCTCCGGTGTGACGCGAAATTCCTGACTTGCAAAATATCTGACTATTGTAGAACTGCCCATGCGCAGAAGATGCGCATGAATGACTTTGGCTCATAAATTTCGACAGACTCAACAGACAACACGTGTATTTATAAAGTCATTTTGTTAACATTTATACATAAATTTCCAAACACCAATTCTACAATTGATCAACTGAATTAACACCATACCACTCGTTGTGAACATTAGCGTTCAGCGATAATAAAGCTTGAATCTAAAATCTGCGAATGGAAAAAGTCAATCGAAAAGCTTTCTTAGCAGTGATATCATGAATAGACTTCAGTTTCAAAGGTGATGCCATATGCATTACTATAAGCCTCCAAAAATCGCTTCGCGTTTCACCTTCTCACTATTTAGTAAGCAGCAACAATGAGTTCGTTCGTGAGTTGGCCGTTTAGATTTGGCGATGTCTATACTGATTAGAATGACCTCGTAACATTGCATATGGACTTAAAAATCGTTTCGGCCGACCGTATTTAGCAAACGTCGTGTACTGTATTTCGCAGTCACGACCACACAATCCGCCTTAAATATGCGTGAAGGTCCTGCAAACTTGTTTCCGAATACGAAGGTCCCACAAACTTTACCGAATTCAAAGTTTGCGGACACGGCACGAAATCGAGAAGATTTACTATCGGATTCGTCGCGCTGCGTGTGCAAACGGCAAAGTAAATCCGGTACTAAAACGTTCCTGTTTCGTCACGAATCCGAAAACCTTCGGTCTAGTGGAAACGGGATCTATAAGTTATCTAAGTGACGTAACTAATTTTCAGGGATCTGACAAATTAAGAATTTCTCATACTGCCCAATCAGTTTTACTAGTTTCTCACTGCACAAATTAGTTATCTCAGTGCGCACTAAAATTAGGTGTGACTCAAGAATGTTGAGAATTTCTTTACCATGCACTACTAGGAATTACTGACGATTTTCTGAGGATCGCTTCAGGTTTTGCATTGTTTTGCATAACAGGTAACTGCATGTCTTGCACATTATGTTATGACGAAGTCTTGAAAATAAAATCGATTCTATCAAATTATATTTTAATTACTTTAATAACACATAACATGTTTTCAATGCTGAAAGCGAGAAAATGAATAATGAAAGAAACTAAGACTTACAGATTAACACTTTGTTCTTTAAAGTTATATTGCAAATTGTCTAACGTACGCCTGTATTCTAAAAGCTCACTCAAACTCACACTCAAAGAGTGGAGGTTCAATCTGATTTTCCCTTTATGTCAATTAATGCTGTTTTTGAATAGCTGGAGGGTGTGTGGTCGCATAATCAGGAACGACATTAACCCTCCAGCTATTCAAAAACAGCATTGACAATCAAGGGAAGTGCAGATTGAACTTCCACTCTTTCTCTTTGAGAGTAGCAAGCTTTAAGAATACAAGCGTAACTATACTGTCTATACCACATGTTCATATATGCTGATTCCGAGCAATTATCCTTCTTTTACGGCTTCAGACAACTGCCCCGGTGCTTCCTGTTCTTTATACATCATTATTTTTTCTGTTCCATTCCACTGATTAAACACCATGCTATTCACCTTAAAACCTTCGCCTTCAAGAATAAAGATAATTTGCATTTTCAGCAATTGTACACCGCCAACTGTAGTGTAAATAGATATCCCTGGATTCACGGTTACTTCCACGACATCATGACGTTCAATTCTGAAGTAGGAACAAGAGAATCCCTTTTCATTATATTTTTTCTCGAAGTTTTCAACCAAATCTTTGTGACCACGCACCTTCACATGTTGCTGAAAATTGTTATTCACTGCCGGCTCCAGTGTTTCTATTTCCAAGTACCTGGAGATCGCTGACATTTGGACAGTTTACAAATGAAATCGAGGAAATTTACAACATATTCTTTGTTTCGCGTTAACTTCTTGCTACCAGTTCAATGTTTAACATATATGCATGCTAAATCAGTCAATTGCAATTACTATATACCTGTTACTTATCAATAATTCATGACAAAATTAACCAACCACATCCATCCAGTTTTGGCATAAATAAATATTCTTGATTATGGCATGGCAGGGTATGCAAGTATCCTATATGACGTCGGTCAAATTTAGCGAAATTTCTCCCACTGGTGCGGGCTCGTATTGTCAGCGAACACCTTACACAAATGGCCAGTTCTGTGCAAATTAATAGTAGGTGGGAATTTTGTCTGAGCATGCGCTAAAATTCGCGCGGTTAACACAAGAGAATTGGGTGAGCGTTGTATTGGGGGTTTTGGCCTCATTTTTTCAATACCAACCATTTTTTTTAATCTATTCAGTGCACTATTAGGAAGGCCAGAAACGTATGAGAACGTTCGGAAACTAAAAATTGTATAAAAATATAACTTTTGCGCAACTTCACACATCGAAACTGCCTCGGTAATGTTGGTAATGTCCAACAATTCTTACTAATTCACGCCGTTGATGATTCCTGATATTTACTTTCCCCTTTCATCAATAATTATGCTATGCTAATAATCTCTCTTGCTAATGAAAAATACATTTTACTAAGGCCTATAGCAAATTGCACGATTTCGCTGGAAATGTGTTTTAAAATCCTTACTAAGGCAATAGCCGATGAATCATAGTTGAAAATAGTGCATGCATGGATGATTCAGAGCTGAGCAACCAATCAAATTGGGAGAAAAACAGCTAATAAGTAAGGCCCCGTTTACACGAGACCGGTATATATGGTTAAACCGGGACCATTTCGGTTTCGGTCATAGTATTATTTATATAATAATATACATAAAGATATTACTCGATGTTCTGTAATCACAGTACAATTTTCTGCATGTAATCACAGTGCAATTTTTTGTAATCACAGTGCAATTTTCTGTAATCAGAGTGCAAAAATCTGTAACAAACTGATCTGATTGGTGGAAAAACATTGTGATGATAAAATCAACCAATCAGTTTAAAGCAGTTTAGTTTAAAGAAGTAATGGTCACAGATTGCTTCAAAACAAAACAAACATGGCGCCGCGCTACATAAAGTAAAAGTTGACCTCGGTTGGAAAATATGGCTTTTATCTTTATTTTTAAATGGAAAAGCATTTACCTTAAACTAGACTAACAAAAATTACACAGTTGAGTGGAATTTTCAAGCTGCATGTTCAGTGGCGCCGTGGGACCCATGTTTTTTTTTTTTTTGGGGG